GGGTTCAGAGGTAACACTGTGAAAATTTACTTATTCATTTACTTACTTGCTGTATAAGGAAACAAAAACAAAAAAACAGACAAAACCAAACAAAAAAACTGTCAGGGAAAAGCTGGCGTTTACCGAGCATTAACTGACAGACATGACAGAGTGTGAGATTATGAGCATTTTGGAGTCAATTAGGCATTGCTAGAAAATCAACCTAATTGGGTAATACCTTGTCTCGAGTGTATGTATGGATGTCATGAAGCGTGGGTTTTGTGTGAATGTGAAATGTGTTACCGGATGTGGTATTTCTTGCAGATGGAGAAAATTGTCTTATAACTGTATAGGGAAGGGGCATGAACTGTAACCTTGATTTACGGGGAAAAAGAGGTTAGTCCCCAGAATTTGTGATGTCCCTGAGAGTTGATGGGAGGACACTATCGGAAAGTGCCAAAATTTTGCTTTGCTTAGAAACAAAGGAAGTGGCTACAAAGGAGCTGCACTTGAATTGACTAACTCTTAACACACGGATTTGTTAAACAGTAGAGGGCAAGACCGGGTTAACCTCTGTGCTCGCCACCAAGAAGACCTTTTTCTCAGCTGTGGGCTGCAACCCCATAGGCATGAGAGGTGGGAGTATATGTTATACCGGACCTCTGCTAATCATCCTGGTATGGTTTGCTTTAATAGTGGCAAATTTGTGCAGCAAGTGCTTTACTGTTATGTCCAACATCAGAGTGGCTTTGCTTTCCCAAAGACAGAAGGGTGGATGGAGATATTTTAGTGGGAAGAAGAGAATCCAAGTAAAAGATGTGACAGAAGTAAAACAGCCAGTACCAAAACCGCCGAAAAGACCTATAACAGAATTTTCAACATGGTTAACCAAAGGAGATGGTGGTTTACATAAGCAGATACAACTACATGGGTACTTGAAAGAGGAACATTTACAAGGGCAAAAGATATGTAGTAAAAAGGCAAACAAAGTGAGGGCTACCAACATCAAGGCTGCACAATAAATTGCTGCCCATGCATAAGCACGCTCCATTGTTTTCGCGGTATCGGAGGTACAAGAGTGAGAGCGCGAGTGGCGAACCTGCCTGGTCTGTAGGGATCAGGAGTCAGGGTCCACATACGCAGCAGGAAAATGGATTTCCACGCCCCCAGTCCAAAGCGCATGTGTTGCTGGAGGGTCTCGAAAGTTCGGCTATACCCGGATGGCAAAAACAACTGCCAGGCCCGCCCAGATCTAGGCAGCACAGGCATTCTGGGTGGAAGAGAAACTTCCGCTCATTGCGCACTTGGACCTTCCTCGGTCAAGCCGCTAGCCTGGGGCTGGACTATCCCACTAATCTTACTGATCCCGCTGGATTGCAATCTTGGGAAGATGGGAGTAGGGGACGATCCCGTGTGCGCCGCCTGCTGTTGGGATTTTTCATTATATTGGTGGTGACTGTCGTTGCCATCGCGGTATGCGAGGGAATGTCTCGTGGCTGGTGTCGGAGATCACCTCCTCCCCCCAATCCTCCAAGATCACGAAGACAACTAAGACGCCCTCGAAACCTTGATGAGGTGATGGAAACAGACTTATAGTTCAAAGAAGAAAATGTTATTGATCAGAGGAGTTACCGCGCGGCGTGTGACTGACTGTTGTTCTTGGACTCTTTCTATCTTTCTATCGCTATCGCCCCGTGAGTAAGGGTAACAAGACATCGAAGGACAACATCCAAAGGACAGTGCTGATATCTTTGGTTCTTACTTTTTCTCTTTCTGATTGTGTCGCGTGGGACTTTGCTGGATTGTTATACAGTTAATTATTTCAGGTTCTTGTTTGCTAATAAATTGTTGATTATTGTTTACAGAGTGTCTGATAGTACGGTTGACTGTGCAGTTCGGCACACAGCTCGAATTTGCTTAACACCAACAGGTGAAACAGTAGTAGCAAATTGCATGTTGGTCACAACTTGTTGGATTAACTGAACAAAGCAAGGAATAAATAACACACGGCAAAAACATTAAGGCGACAACTGCACATAGCAGATAGAATAAGAGCTGTTTTACCTATGGTGCTCTGAAAACACCCTCAATGTTAGACTCAGAATGGTGGGATGATCTATTAGGAGCTTCCTGGTGGAAAAGATTGTTGTGAATGCGTTATGCCACGTGAAAACTATGATTGTAATTGTAAGGTATTATCTTGAGAGTGTTATGATAAATGTTGGAATTGTGGAAAAAGGTTTGTTTGCAGTGACGAAAATGAAAGTAGCATCTAATAAACAATAATAGGATAAAAGAAAAAGGGGGGATTGTAAGAAACTATGAACTAAGGGTATTGTTTATTGAAATTTATGTTAAGCTCAATGTAAAGGTTAGGCGGCAAAAGACAAAAAACTGCTTATGCAAATAGCTGCCAGACACCGCTTGTGTGAGACAAGATAACCTGTGAGACAGATAACCGCAATTGCTTACACAAACCAGATACTTGTGCAAGCAGAAGGGGTACTGATCAAAGACAACCACGATGTAAAAATGTATAAAAAGGAACTGTTTGAACTGATCAGTACGGCAGTTGGCGGAGCGCAGACTCCCCTGCCGTCCAGCGCTGTCTTTGCTCATATTCTACTTGCTATAATTAATAAAATTATAATTGGATTATGATCCATTGTGGTCTGAATTTATAACAGGGATCCATCCTGCTGCAGAAATCTCAGTGACAAAATGCTTCCCCTTGAGTCAGGAGGCATCCCCTGAGCTGGAGAGAGTCTCCTATTATCTCCTATAACACCACAGTTTATACGAATGACCCCTCAGTCTTTCCAAACTGAAATCGTATTTCTCTCAACTTCAAAACAGCAATAGCCACCAGACAAGCAAGGCAACTGGAGCAAGCCTCCGTGAAACACAAATATGAAAGTATTGGTTATGATCAAGCTTATTTATTAGAAGAAGATGCTAAAAATAAAAACACTTATGACTTCCTCTACAGCACCACTTGAAGGGTAACGCAGGCATCCCTTTCCTTCATTCTGCCTCCTCTCCCTATAAACAACCTGTGCAGAACCAGTCTGATAATGAAGGATAAAACATGTTGTTTCATGGTCTCTTACAGTGACCTTTTCTGGTATTGAGAGGAAAGTTTGGCCAGCAAATGCACAGAACACCAGGAACAGATAAGCAAAACACCCAGCAGTAGCAGCTGGGTTTTCAACCTTGCGAGCGGGAGTCAGGTTTCACTGCCAGTGGACCACAGCCACTCCAGCAACACTATCAAAGCAGCTGACATTTAAAATAAGAGCAAACATTTAGTTCCTGTCCATTCATCGAGACAAGAATTTGGCAAAAAAAACAAAAACATAAAATCAGGAATATCTCCACTTAAGAACCACAAAAAATCCTTCCAAGCCTCAACTGTATCAAAAGCCAGTTTCGTTTTATCAGAGAACACAAATCCAACTGTAATGTTTGACCTTCTCACATTCTTTTTCCCACACATAAGAGTCAAATTTGGATACCATCCTTCTACAACAGTAACATTTGGTAGATAGTCTAACTTTTCTTTTCACTACTGTAGTTTAGAGAATTGTCCCACAATAACTGCAGTACAAACTCTCCAGGGACTGTTAAAACTAATCCTATACAATGTATTAAACTCAAGCCCATATTAATTTTGAACTTTATGTGTTTTTTTCCTGTATAGTCTAGCATTAGTTTTCAAACTTTCTTCTTCCAGCTTTCAGCTAGTTGGTGTTTTGCAAGAGCCAAGTAAGCTAAGAACTGTTAAGAAGAATGGAAATAGTTTGTATTAGCCATCTGTTGCCACTGACACCTCATATCAATCCACTTGATTAAAAATAAAACAGGAAAAAAAAAATCCCTTAGGGTCTGTAATAGCAAAAAAGATAGATCAGAATAGCATCGGAAGATATTAGTTGGCTCTAAGTATACACCTACTTAGATCAGTACTGGACAAATCATTGCTCAGAAAATATAAGCAACATTTATGTCAATTACCAAAGTTTAAATCCTGCAATGTGCAACTGCACAAAACCCAGACAAAGAAACCCAGCACTCAGCTCCGGTATCATCAGCCACATCAGCAGTCACCACGCTGCTACAGCTGTTCCCCAGCGTGGCTCTGGTGACAGGAGTTTTGCAAAGGCCACGGCCAATTTAAGTCACCTCTCTGCCACAGCTCCCCATTTGATGCTTCCAGATTTGAAGTGCAACCGATTCCTCTCCATGGCAATAGTTATTTTCATGCCCTCTTGAAGCAGCGCAGAGGAAGCCAAAACACACACTTTACCAACCACTTAAGAAGAATAACACTGCTTTTGCACCCTATGGCCAAGCTGTTCTTCTAGCTTTGGTTGCCAACTGGTAGAGAGTACATTTATAAAATATGCCGTTGGAAACCTTGACATCAGAAAATTCAGTTACGTGCACTGTTACTGTGACACTGGTGAAGTACAAAAGCAAAACAGCAGGATCCTGGAACTCCTCTGCTTCCCTATAACCTTTGAAAGCAACAAAATGAGGATGCTCATGATGCGCTTGGGATACCAGCATACAGCCAGGGAGACACAGAAGAGGGCTGTGGGAATCTCTGCCAAAACCAGGAGCTGTTTCCCTCTCTCCCCAGTCACCTCCTCCAAATGTAACTGGGGGTGCGGGGAGGGAGGGGGTTACCACCCACACCCAAATGTCCTTATCTGAGGCTGGCATAGGAGCCACAGGGAAAAAATAAGGTCAATGAAGTAATTTCCACCACGTAACACAGGAAAACCTGCTTCGGCCACTCCATCGCTGTGACATTTTCTAGGGCTGAATTTGTCGTCGCTGGCAAGTTTCTGTCGCCGCCGAGGGCTCCCCGCGAAGCCCCTCAGACGCCCACCGCCCCCGCCAGCCTTGCCGCCAGGCCCGGTCCCTGGGCTGCTGGACAAAACCTCTCTGGAGAAGAGTCCCAGACGCCTCCGACCCTTCTTAAGCCGGCTGGCGTTTGACAGCCTACCTGAGGGGGAAGCGGCGCTCGGGATCGGGAGCTCCGACTGTCGCGACTTGACGCGACAGGCACCGTGGCGGAGCGGCGGGCTCGGGGCCCGCAGCGCCTGGGGAAGGTGAGCGTGTGAGGGGAAACGTCCGGCTCCCGCTTGGCCGAGACTTGCCGCCGCCGGGACCCAGGACAGGCCTCGTCCCCTCCCGAGCCCGGCGGGGGCCCGGCCCGGCTGCCCAGCGCGCGGCGGAGGGCGGGGGGAACGCGCGATGGGCGGCGCCATCTTGGGGGCGACGGGAGCCGCTCGGGACCAAACGTCCTTCCGCCCGCCGCCATGGGGTCGCGGGAGCCCTGCCGCCGGCTGGAAGCGGTGCTCGGCGCCCTCTACGACCTGGGTGGGTGAGCGGGGCCGCGCCGTGGGCTGCCGGTCGTGGGGAATGGGGCCGGGCCGGGCGCTGCGCCGTGGCCGGCAGCACCGCGGCCTTCCCTGGGGGTCGGGCGTGTTCACTCTGAAGCGGAGCGACGGCCGCACACGGCTGACTCGGGGAATGCGTTCGGCACGCAGGTGAGGAGCGCGGTGCTCGGGGCGCGGCGAAGGACAGCGAGGCGAGCGTAGGGGCGGCGGCGGCGAAGAAGAAGAAGAAGAAGGAGAAGGAGGAGGAGGAGAACCGAGGACCGCAGCCGGCGGCGGGCGGGCGGCGGGGAGCCCGCGACTTTTTTGGGGAGCTGCGGGCTGAGCTGGCCGCCGCCGGCCCGCCGCCCCCCGCCACGCCGCCGGCCGTGGAGGTCGTGGTGTTTCGCGGGAGGAAGAGGAAGGGGCGGCCCAGCCCCTCGGTAGCACCCACCGGAGGTGCCCAGGTAGGACCGGGGAGCGGGTGGGCCCCCCTGCCCCAGGCACGCCCACGCCTGCAGGCGTGGGTGCTGCTGTCCCGAGTAGGAGCGGCCTTCTAACGGGGTGCGCACCCTGGGCACGGTGCCCGTACCGGTGAATATCTTGCTGCTTCTTTAAAGCACAGATAGATGGGTTTTTGTGAAGCCGCACCAGAGAGTTGCTGCTGAGCAGGTACTGGACTGGGATGCCCTTTCCTGGTGACAGTTAAAACCAAATAAAATCCTCTGCGTGTCTGTTGGTTTTGCTTTTTCCTGTCTCCTTAGTCTGCCACCATAAATTGTGAGATGTCTTCCATAATGCCCCCTCCAGTGTCTAGTTTCTTCCCTCTTGCTAATACAGCTGCCTGGAAATCTGGGATCCTTTGGTGATCTGTGTGCTCAGCTTGATGGCATCCAGTCCTGCTGATTTCCAACAGGGCTGCTGGTAGGGTGGGAGCAGGACTCGAAGACTTTTTTTCCCAATTTCCAGAGATCTCTGGATAACTATCCTATATTTGAACTAGATGTATCCCAACAAAATAAATTGATCTGCAGATAGGACTGCTGATACAGCAAGAAGTGAATGAAATGGGAAGCAAAGCCTCTTTACTTCTGTGCCTAAGTGTTGTGTGTGCTGCTCCGTTCTCGTTAACAGGAGTGGATGTGAGGTGCGAAAGCTTTCTTCTCTGGCATCACAGCAGCACTTGGCTGTTCACCAGCAATGGGGGAAGGCATGACAGCATTAGATCTCAGTCCTCTGATATGGTTTGTTGGTACTGAATTTATTCGTGCTACCAAAAACTGTAGCTGAGTTGCTACAACAGAGAGGCCTGGATAGGCTTGACTGGAAGCTGAGCTGCGTCCCATGCCAAGCAGAGGGTCCATTGCTAATTGATTGGTCTCCAGATTTTATAGCTTCTCTGGTTGTTTTCTTTGAGCCATGTTTATGGCCATAACATCAGAAGCCCAATTCTAAAATAAGGTCTGATGGACAAGCACATGACTGTCTCAAATTCAGGAAGATTTACTGGTATCTGGGGTTTGACTGCTTGGAATTAGGAAGTTCAAGAGACTGACCAAGCAGTTGGTTGAATCCATAAACTTTTGTGCTTTTTCTGGAATGTTTTCCTCTAAAAATTGCCCTAGATAATTATTTTCTTATGCTTTATTATAACTTAAATTTTTCTTCCTGAAAAGACTGGTGTTAAGCATGTTAGTAAAATGGTCTGAAAATAACCATGTTTATTTGTCATTGAAATGGACAGTTTTATATAGAAGCTTTTTGCAGAGTTGGGAGAAGTTTGGGTTTGGCTCCGCTGAATGCAGAGGGAAGCCCTGACGTAACCCTGGAACCTGAACCTGTGACTAAGTATGACTTAAAGTCCTGGAGAGTGAAACCGAAATGCGTTAAAAGCATTCAGGTTCAGTTGTAATATATATGTAGTACTCCTGCTTCCTTGGAGGGGATAGTGCTCTTGAGAGCAAACAGGGAAAGACAAGCAAGCGGATACTCTTGAACAGACTGCAGTTTCCCTGCCCATGCTGCCTGCACCAGAGGCAGAGCATCCACTCAGAGAGGTTGTTCAGCACGTCCTCTCCAAAATCAGGAGTCAGACACAATCTAAAACAAACCTGGGAGATTTGTTACTGTCCCATGTGGGACACTAGCAGGTGTGGAGCTCTCCCTGGGGATTTTGCACTTCTTTTTCTTCCTAGGATACAATCTGTCCCCCCTTGGAGAGTTCCCCTCCAAACTGAGAACTGCTGTTGAAAGGTCTCCACGTAAATCACGGAATAGAGAAGATGGAGTTTTCACTGATCTCATTTTGAGCAAGTAGTTTCTTTAAACAGCTTAAGTGGGGTCCGCCATCTCCTGACAGTGTCATCCTTTGGAGCCGTTTCTCTTGCATTAGTTAAGCTGGATATGTGCTCTAATATATGTCCACACAGTTGCAAATTAAGCCTCTGCGTGTTGCCACCGGCTGTCAGTATATGTGCTATTACCACTGCACTCTCTGTCTCAAACAAAATGACTTAAGGTTTGTGTCCTATCCTGCATCAGCAGTTTGGTATGGATTTGGAAATGGAATTATGCGTGACGTATAGCTCACATGTGGCAGTTTTTATTTTATAAAATGTAATTTATTCTTGAAAGGATAAAAATTAATTGCAGCTATTAATATCTTTCTGAATTATGAAACCCTTTGTAAGTGTTAGGAGATGATCCAGGCAAGAAAATGAAGGACAAAGCTGTATGCACTGTGCTATAATGGTACCCTATAAATTGTGCAAGGTCATTCCAGTAAGATCCTGTAATATCTGAATATTAAAAATGTCACTGAGGCTGTCTCTTTTCATAAATCCGGGTAACAAAGCTGGAAAAAATAGTGCTGGAAAGCTGTATACTCTTCCCAACAACTCTTTCTACATTTCACTGCTTTCCAAAAAACTATCACAATGGACATTTAAACCGGTGTTACTTGTTATATTAATTCCAAATGTTTTGTTTGTAGACCAAAAGAGTGGATGAAGATAAAAATGTGAACGAACAAGAATTTAACTTTGAAAAAGTAAGTCAGCAGGGCCTATCTAACCTCACTATTTTAGTGTGCAGGTATGTGTATCTATATCCTTGTGAAAGCTACGGTGGGACCAATGGGAAGCACTTCCAGAAAAGGTTATCTTGGTGAGGATTTCCCAATAGGTAATTTTGGCCGTATGCCGTGTCAAAGGAGAAGCATGCTGGCTCTTGTCAACTGCTTTGTGTGAAGAGAGGCATGTTGCAACTCTGTGGCCTTTCTTTCAAATCTGTCAGAGAGAATTTGAGGAGGATCACTGTATGTTACCTTTGTAAAGCTATGTGAGTACCCATAATGTTTAACATAGCTCTTTCAGGCCCATATTGTTAATCTTGGATTTCTGATCTCAGGTGGGATGGGAAAAAAAGTGTATTGGCATCTACTTTTGAAACAGCAGATTACTTCTTTCCATTTGTCTTCTTATTCTCACTTGTTCTTATATGAGCATAACTAGCATTGACCTTCTTAGGTACTGATTTGTTTACAGATCTGTGCAAGTGGTTTTATATGCCTGATCTCTGCTCAGGGATGTGCTGTGATCCAGTGAAATGTTTCACTGGAAATTCTGCATGGAGCTTTGTACTGCTGAGCACAATGGGGATTTAACCACTGACTTTAAAAATAGTATGAATTCACCACAGGTTTTGCCAGGGTATTCTTGTATAGTGTCAGCTATGCATGTGTGTGTAGTCAAACCAACTTCATCAATGCCCGGCTGTGTTTCTCACTGGTTAAGTGCGCTGCAGCCAAGAAATGAGAACAGTCTGTAAATGTTGGGTGCTGTGGGTAGCACATTTCATTGTTCTTCTTTGTGCAGCACAACATGATTCCTTTTTATATGGAGGAGATCCATTCCATTGTGTTGTTTTATGTGAAATGAGGAGGTTCAAAAATTGTCCCCCTGACAGTCTTCACCATCCAGAGATTAATGACAGTGGTTAACGGTGAATGTTCTGCAGTATGGCTCCAAACTCAGTTAGTTTTATTTTATAGTATGTTGATTTCAGGTATTATCCAGGGTTTCTTTGGGAGTATGACTTTGTTGTAGTCTGTCAAGAGCTATTTTACAAGAGGCTGGGCAAATTATGAAATGCTTGCAATTTTCTGTAATGTTCTAGGCTCGTCTGGAAGTACACAAGTTTGGAATCACTGGCTACAAGAAGCAGGAACAACGTATATGGGAACAGGAGCGTGCTATCATGCTGGGAGCCAAGGTAATTGTCACTTGGTTTGTGCTGAGCAGTCACCCAGCTGTTACAGTGCAGGAAAGCAGTAAAAAACTCTGGGGGGTTTTGGCACACCTTTTTAAAACACAAGATCCCCTACCCTGACCCACTTCATCCTTACTTTTACATATTCTATTCTGTCTTGTCTATTTTCTGTTGATGTTTGTAAAATTAGTCTGGTTGTGTTATCAGAGATGTTGTACAGATGAAATACAGCTGATTGGGGTGGAAGACAACACTTACCAATTTTTAATCAGGCCATTCAAAACTAAAATGTTGAAGGGAAGGGCTTGCTTTTTAAAGCTTCGCTGTCCCGGTGAGTTAAAGATGGCGAAAACTTTTCAGTTTGATTCATCATCAGTAATACAAAAGAGAAAAAGAATTTTGTAGGTCTTTTTTGGTGGGTGTGGAGGAGTGTGGTTTTCTTTCTAGCTCAGTGTATATGTGGAAATCCTGTAGGTTTGATGTAGAGCATAAACATCCCTCCTACTGTCTCCGGCATGAAAGATGTGGTTTCGATGTGTCTACCTTACATCCCTTCAGTCCCTTCCTCTCACCCAAGAGGAAATAAACAATTTCTGATGTTCCCCTACCACCATCTGAAAAATATTGTCCATGCAAGTGTGTGAATATTTTTTAACCTACTTGAAATTTTCAATCAGTGGTATCCCTCCCAATCTTTATTTCAGCCCCCCAAAAAAGAACATGTGAACTACAGGACTTACCAGGAGAAAATGAAAGAGAAGAAAATGGCAAAGGAGTATGATAAGGGAAAGGTTTGTGTAAAATTTTCTGTATAAAAAGGCAACATGTAAGAGCTAGCCCAAACCTGACAGATAACGCCTCAGGCGCAGGAGGAGTGCCTGAGCTTGACACCTGCTGCTCCCCATGGAGTGGGTTCCTGATGAGTAGGACTCATCATGTTGTAGTGGGTTTCACTGCCTCATCCTTTATGGCTGATAGATTGATGACACAAAATCAGCAGTTGGTTTTGTTCTTTTTTTTTTTTTTTTTTTTTCCGTGCCTCCTAAGAGAAAAAAAAATGGCCTTCAATTAAAGTTTGTTGCATGTTGTCTAACCACAGAGAGCCAGATCTTCAGCTGGTTTTATATCAGCACAGTTCCATCTAGGATCTTGCTCATTGTTTAAAGCAAGGGTGAGGTTTCTCTTGCATCCATCCTGTAGCACAGCCCATCTGGCTCCAAGCCTACTCCCTGCCTCCCATGGAGTCTTCTCATGTAGGTGGGAGCAAGGCGGGTAATTGCTCTGTCAGCCTGTTTCCTGCCACCCTCTTTCCCAGGGGACCTATTTCTCTGTCACATGGCTCAAAGCACATCCAGGGCATGGCCAGAAGTGGTTGAACCCTGTTATTTGACAGGTATGCTCAATCAGGCAACTAGGCACACCTGCCTGGGAGCAAGTCTTTTGACCCAAGGATCTGTCACATGCCCAAGAAGCAAGCCTGTCCTCCTGCGGTGGGGTTTGTGCCTCCCCACGTGGCAGGGGCAGCCTGTTGGTCATGAGAGGGCTGTAATTCCCGTAAGGTGACAGGAAGGGCTCTGGGCACTCCTAGCAGTGCCTCCATAACGCATTGCATCACTTGGCCTGTCAGAAGGTCTCCAACCTGCTTTAAATGCCTGCTGCTCCGTGAAGCAAAGGGTACCACGTGTTTTGAGTGCAGACGGTTGTTTAGCCAAGATGCTCAGATCTCTTTTCATTCAAATATGTATCTTTAAAAGCAGGAACATAAAGGTGATTCTCTCAAGAAGAAGAAGAAAGAACAGAAGGAGAGGTGAGCTGTTTTGAACATGGTTAAAATGAACTTGCTTTGTATAGCCTCTCCAGCATATTTCCCCCCGTGTAACTATGCACAGTCTTATACCAGAAGACGTGCAGTCACTGTGGAAGGAACTTCTCCAGCTGCAGAAGAACTTGGTCACAAAATGATGATGTTGCTCTGTGTCTAGCAGTTTCAGAGAGCTTTAGTTACGCAGCTTAACTGAAAATATGTCAGTTCTGCCCCACATGTCTAAGAACGCAGCTGGAGGTGAGATGGATGTGCGGACCCAGGATGTGCCACGTACTCGGAGCACTTGCCCTGAGATGTAATTAATGCAAAACACGAGATACAGTATACAGAGGCTTGAAAGATGAAGTGGCATTCTTAGTCACAGTATAGCAGGTTCACTGAAATGTGCTCTATATCTTCTTCTTCTAGCCAAGTGTCTTTATGTTTCTAAACTTTCTGAAATGTAAATCATTCTGTAATGTGCTGCAAATTTTGAATGGCTATGCAGGTAATAAATATTCTGGGTCATTACCTGCTATGATTTAATATTCCATAATACCAAACACCTATTTCATAAATAGGTGACATTTTTTACCATATTAAGCTTTTCATGAGTTTCTGTTGTTTCTCTTAATTATTTTTTTCTCTTCCTATTTCAGGAAGGCCAAAAGGAAGAAATCAGTGCCTAGCATTTGGCCTGCAGGACAAGTTGGAAAATTCAGGGATGGGACCTTGATTCTGCAAAGCCATGACATAAAGAAATTAAATCATCTAAAGTTATCAAATGAACCTATGATACAGAGCAAAATGGACAATATACATAAGATAGAATTCACATTGCTACCAACACAGATTTACAGAGCCTGTCGCCTTTCTGCCATGTCCTAATTTTTTTACCTTATTTGTTGTTGCAGGATTTTCTACATTCCATTCTGACTTGGGAAGAATATGAAAATTTACTGTTTTATAAATAAAAATAAGACTTTATATTAAGAACTTTACACAGGCTATTTTTATTAGTCAATACACGCTAAAGAAAGCATGTAACTTTCTGGAGTCAGCTTCTTGGCCAAAAGTAAAATGTCCACTTAATCCAGTAATTAATGGATTAAAATATATAGGCTCTTCACTTTCATCTGGAAGGAATATGGAAAAAACAATACCTTACTTGCTCTGAAGCTGAAGTTGTTATTCTCAAACATTTATGGGCGTACATCTGTTTCTGTGACTTTATGAATTGTTAGTGGATTGTGGAACTGCACAACAGTTTTCCTGTTCGGCAAAACCTCTCACAGTTTCAAAATTATCTGCTTTGGAATAAAAACAAGATTTTCTGAATTTTGTCCCAAATTGAGTTACGGACTCAATTTATATAACTCTGCAAAGATTTCCAAATAAGCACTGTTTCAGATGGTGGCTTGGTGGCTTGTTTTTAAAAAAACCCATGTAAGACTGAGCCAAATGAGGCATAGACACTTGATAGCTACTGGTTGTTCATGGTTAACTCATGTTTATTTTAATCAGTGTTCCCATGCCTCATAAGGCTTTTCTGTGAATTCTTTGTCAAAACTGAAGTTTTAGTGCTATTTAGATTTCAGTAATTTGGTGTTTCTGAAAGAATAGTTTTGTCCTCTGCATCTGAATATTTTTGTTTTTAAGGTTGTGTTAGTAACCTTTCAAAGTGTCCTCTCCATTCTACGTCAAGCTTAAGAAATGAATATTTTAGGGGGAGGCAAAAGTAAGGTTAGCTGCTAAATGACATACAAAAAAGTTCACGCTGTGTTGTTTCCAGATAAGGTTATCTGGAGCTTGTTTGAACAGCTCTGGCAGTGAAGCAGGTGTGTATAAGATGGAACACAGCCCTTACTGGAGAAAGTTCTTTTAGGTGTGTTGGTGAGATTCAGCGTTCCCCTGTGGGCTGGGGAAGCTGTTGGAGAATGGCTAAGGGAAAAGGGACATGGATCTAGAGATCCTCTTTGCGACGAGAGTCTCTTTTAAGTTAGCATGAGTAGGCCTCAGTCAGCAAGAGTGAACAACAGCAAGAGTGAGTCCCGTGGGAAAGTACGACTAAGGTTCTGAGATGAAACATTCTCTATCTCGTCAAGGTTGGGAAGCATTCCTTGTTCTTCTTTAATCAGGGGAGGATGGAGAAATGAGCATTCTTTTGTTTCTCCTAAACTAACTTATCTGGGTCTTTCCCAGGGCTTGGGCCAACAAGCCCTGGCATGGCTTGCTTGTATTTTATCCAATCAATGATTGACTAGTAGGCATAATTAAGCAGAAGTTATGAAAGGCTGTAATGGAAATCAATAAATTGAAGCACGCTTTATCACTCATACTGAGTCGGCTGCGTTCTTCCTCCTTGGCCTGCGTCCTCGGCTCGCCCAGCCCGGCAATTGGCGCCGAACAGGGACCCTCGAGAAAAAGGGTCAACAGGGAACAAAGGGTCTCTCGAGAAAAAGGGACCCTCGTTGAGGTGAGAACAAAGGGATCCTCGAGATGAAAGGACCCTCGTGAAAAAAGGACCTGGCTGAAGGAAAGGAGCAGTGCGCTGGGAGCAGCGACCGAAGGCAAAAAGAGCGACCAGAACATCGCGTGCTGTGGTGTGTCGTCTCCGGCCTGAACCGATTGAAGTTCACCACTGCAAGGGCTACAAGCTGAGGGCTGCAAGGATATTATAACAGTATTAAGTACATGGATTTTGAAGTAGCCCTAGATTTATTACAGAGCTTTTAGAAAAGCGTGGGACAGATAGTAGTTGCATTAAACAGCTAGCTGGTCTAGTAGCAACGGGGAAAACAAAGGGGTGTTTTAAGAACTCTGATCTGTTGTTTGATGAAGAGGAGTGGAGGAGGTACGGAGATATACTGTGGGATATGGTGATAGATGATGATAAACTTGCTAAGAATTAATGAAACCTTGGAGGAGGTAATCAATAACATTAAGCGCCATAAGGTTGAAAAGAACATGGCTGCTGTGGCTTCTCAGAAATTAGGACTCAGAGCCATCTGCCCCACCGCTAAACGCGGGAGTATCTAGTTTTTTGAGCGAACCTGCCGCGCCAAAACCGGAGAATGATTTGTTGTTTAGTACAAGCAGGGTACCAGCGCCACCTTGCTGGCAGTCTGTACGTGTTACTGAGAATTTCGCGGAAGAAGTGAAAGGGACCGGTGAACAGATAGAAGCAGAAACTGTTAAGGAGCAAGTGATGTCGGAGGATGTCGGAGGGGAGCATAGCAAGAGTGTTGGGGTAGACGAGTTACGAGAGTGAATTGGAGAAAGGTTATGGAAGATGCCGTTGATGCGGGGGATTTTTCTCCCTGCATTTCAGTCATGTTTAACAGAGATGAACATGGTGATCTGCAGGGGGCAGTATAATCCTATTAGTTGGAAATTGTTGTCGCAGTTAAGACAGACGGTATCGGAATCAGGCTTGCATGGAGAACGCAAAACAGTTTTTGAATTACATTTGGGGTAGTACGGTTCTATGTCCTGAGGATATTAAGGTCATTATGCGAACGATTATGACTCAGTCGCAGTTATTGTTGTGGCAAGCACATTGGCAACGGTTTTGTGAAGCATCATTCAACAGCCAAGGAATCCAATGACCCTTACAGGGAGTCACGGTAGAGCAATTGATGGGATCAGGACCTTTTGTGGAAGTACAAGCACAGTTGCAATTAGGTCCTGAACGGTGCATAGAGGCAATGCGAACTGCTAGGGAAGCCTTAGAACATGTAAAAATGTCACAGCCGTCTCCATCTTATATGAGTATAAAACAAGGAAGGGAGGAGTCGTTTGCAAATTTTGTGGATCGCATTACGGCGCCATAGAACAGTCAGATGTACAGCCTTGGATGAGGCTGCTTGTTAAGACAATGTGTAATTCAGAATTCCAAGAGTTACTCGGGAATTTTAATAACATTACCCGCAGATGCCACGACTGAATTGATGTTGGACAGAATGAGTCGAGTCCCTGTAGGACCTCAGGCTATGTTGGTAGAAGCAATGAATAAGTTAGGGAGAGATATCCTTCAGGCTCAGCAGCAAGCCTTTGCAGTGCAACAACGTGCACAACAGCAAGTTTTTGCCGCTTTGGCGTCTCTTCGAGCTGGCGTTGTAGATCAGCGTACAGCGAGGGCCAGTGACGGCAGAAGGCATCAAGTGTTACCGATGTGGCCGAGAGGGGCACTTGCGCCGCGACTGTTGTGTGTGAAACGAGTCTGGTGTGAGACCTGCAATTCAGCAGCCATAACACTGAGGTTTGCCAAAAATCAGGAAACGGGAGAATGAGCGCGTCCAGCCGCTGCGCTCTGACAAAAGTAGCAGCCCCAGCCACCAAGGCAGCACCCGTCTCCAGTGACAACGGCCTCCAACCTGCAACCGTCGGCAGCCTCGGATTGGATGTGGCAACAGCAATAAGTATTACCTTACTCGACCAAAAGCCACAAAAGGTCCCTACCAGGATAAGAGGGCCACTGATTATAAATGGACAATCACATGGAGCATTATTAATAGGAAGAGCCTCCAGCAGTATAAAAGGACTGAACATTATACCAGGACTTATTGATGCTGATTTCACAGGAATTGTCCAACTTATCCTGCAAACATTGTTTCCACCTTTGCATATTCCAGAGGAAGTAAGGTTGCTCAGCTGGTACCGTTGAATCAACTGACCTGTGGTATAACTCCGGCTACGTCCAGAACCAGAGACGACCGAGGTTTTGGTTCCACAGGACCAGCTGTAATGTTGACAATGTCAATGAATCGCAGGCCAATGGCAACTGTACGGCTTGAAGCAAGAGGACATTTTCTAACATTAGTCATGTTATTAGATACAGGAGCCGATCTGACACTTGTGGATGAAGCAGTATGGCCTACTGCCTGGCCGGTCAAACCAATGGCTAAAGGAGTCGAAGGAGTGGGAGGTCATTCTGCAGTGCAGTGCAGTATCGATCGTATTTGGCTGACCATAGATGGAAAAAGAGTATCTATTCATGTTACCGTTATGCGTCTGCCTTCAGGAGTGAATGGCCTTCTTGGTCGTGATGTGCTGGATCAGCTTGGGGTCGTACTTACAACGGACAAACCTTTTTAGGAACGGTCACTGCAGGATGGGCTTTCCCGATTCCACTTCGATGGACATCTAATGATCCGGTGTGGATCGAGCAGTGGCCGTTGAAACTGGAGAGCCTTACAGTCGCCCATCAGTTAGTACAGGAACAGCTCGACCAAGGACACCTGAAATTGTCCACGACTCCGTGGAATACTCCTGTTTTTGTAATAAAAAAGAAGTCTGGTAAACATAGACTGTTGCATGACTTAAGGGCCGTAAATGCACAAATGCAGCCAATGGGAGCGTTGCAGCCAGGTCTACCTAATCCATCAATGCTACCTGAACATTGGAAGCTTCTAATAATTGATTTAAAGTTCTGCTTCTTCACTATAAAACTACATCACCAAGATACACAGAGATTTGCTTTCACTTTGCCTGCCATAAACAAAGAGGCACCAGCACAACGCTTTGAATGGGTGGTGCTACCGCAAGGAATGAAAAATAGTCCAACGTTGTGCCAGCTATTTGTAGACAGCGCTCTGCGCCCCTTGCGGACTGCATGGCAACAGGTGTTCATTTATCACTATATGGATGACATTCTCTTGGCACAAGAGCAGGACTTTACTAATCAACAGGTTCAACAACTGCACGATCAGCTACAGAGCGCAGGACTTATTATAGCCACAGAAAAGGTACAACAGCGCAGCCCTTGGTCGTACCTGGGATGGAAGATAACAGATTCCGTGATTCGTCCACAGAAGCCACAGATAACAACTGAAATAAAAACTCTGAATGATGCTCAGAAATTGATGGGGGACATTCAATGGCTCCGACCAGTGACAGGAATAACCAATGAACAGCTTGATGTGCTGCGACCATTACTACGAGGAACAGATCCAGCATTGCCCGTCTATCCTACAGCAGAGCAGCAAGAAATGATTCAGAC